TGTGTGTGTGTGTGTGTGTGTGTGTGTGTGTGTGTGTGTGTGTGTGTTAGAGCTCGTCAAGAAGCCCGTTTGTGTGACGTGAATCTGCGATGTTCAATATCAACCGACTGGTTTAGGTGAACGAGAGGAAACTGAATTTGACTTCTAAAGAAGATTTTTTGTAGGAACTAAACTAAAGCAGCGAGATTCTATTGTTCTGTTTGTGTCTGTTTGATTCTTTTGAAGCCTTATTGTCGGCCGATGCTGTGCTCTTCTCACGCCCTTTGCTTTGTGTGCGTGTTGTCACTACGATGCTCACTTACTTCCTGTTGTTTTTGTTTGCACACACATTTCCTGTCCTCTAAGAGACGCAGAGAAGAAACTAAGAGACAACCGCTCAGAGAGTCTTTGTTTAAAGATTCTCTAAAAACGTATCAATGAACGGACCGACTGATCGATGCGTTTAAAGTCGTAGTTTATCTCCTTTTTCCTCAAAATGCGAAACAGCCTAACACGGAGAGAAAAGTCCAGATTTACGGGATAAAGCTGGAGACGTTTTCTCCTTTTTATAATTCATAATATGACAGTAACCCTTATTTATACAGCACCTTCAGAACAGGGTTACAAAGTGCTTTACAAGGTTGGAACAGGAATAAAAACACTTCAGGACTGCAGTGAAATATGTTAATATGTTAAGTGGAAATAAAATACTCAAGATGAGTTCTGAGGAGTGATTTAAAAGATCGATCACTTTTATTTATTGTCAATTAATCCCAAAACCAACAGTCCTCTGTGCCGCAGAGTCCAACACCTACTAAAGACACGACATGTTCCGAGTTTTTTTTATTGTCGTGGGATTGGCTGAGAGTGATATAGAATAAAGATAATAAGACATAAAACACTAAACATATGAAATGATATCTGCCTTATACTTTAAACGTCTTATGATGGAGGTTATATTTTGATATGTAATGTCAACATGTTGGTTTGGTTTAAGGCCAAACTTCTGAACCGAGTTTATATTTAATTAATCCCTTTTTATAAATAAATGAAACGGGAACGTCTCATAGCTCCTCTTCAGCGTGTAGATCAGCGTACAAACGTTCATCACATTATTCTCTCCATCATCTGGTATCATCTTCTCTTTCCGCTCATCAACCCATCGATGCAGTTCAGTGTTGGCTCTCAGTCTCTGACATCACGCTGACATCAACACCTATATCTTATGGGGGGGGGGGGTAACCTGGGCCATTGAGTCGCTGGGAGCGACGTTGATTTTGAAAACTGAGTGTTCTGTATTTGTATTTTTACTGAACTAAAAAAAAAAAAAGATCAAATTAAAGTATATGTAAATATGTTTAAAACTGAGACACAAATTCAATAAAGATGTTATGAAAAGTGATCAGAAACGAGGAGGATGTTCCGTGTTGTTTTTAACTTTCACCAGGTCCGAAGGATGAAGCCACCGAGGTCGAACACGGAAAACTTGCTCTAATATTAAGAAATGTGTTTCTGAAAACATTTGAGGGGAGAAATGAGCCATGCAGCTGCTGAATCTGTCTTTCATTTAAGATTAAAAATGTTGAGTTTCAAAGAGTTTTACGAGGAGGCGAGTGGCCTAGATCTCAACTTTATGCAGATGAGGCAGATACCCCATCTCTCGAATAGCACCGCGGAGCTACCGAAACGCATTGCACTGCTGCGCACACACACAATGAATGGAAAGCCTAGAAATGATGGATCCTGTGGACACGCAGCATGTTATTGAGCCATGGATTCCTGGGAAAAATCCCAAGCAAGCGCTCTTTGCTTCATGTCTTTAACCTGCATTCTCTCTAGTGTCCACCAGGGGGCGACTCCTCTGGTTGTATAGAAGTCTATGAGAAAATGACTCTACTTCTCTCTTGATTTATTACCTCAGTAAACATTGTAAACATGAGTTTATGGTCTCAATCTCTAGTTTCAAGTCTTCTTCAATACAGCATGATGTTCATTTAGTACATTATGCTCCATTTAGAGTCAAACAGACCATAAAGCAGGGGATGCTTTAGGGCGGGGCTACAGTGATTGACAGGTCTCTACCAGAGACGTATAAGGCGTCTACGTCACTCCTCCTCAGTCCTTATACGGTCACTTCCTGTTCACTGGTTGCAAAAAACCAAGATGGTGCCGGCCAAAATCCAAGGGTGACGTCATGATGACTACGTCCACCTCCGATATACATCTATGGTGAAATACAGCGTCTTTCAGGTTGGTTACAAATTGTCCTGATTGGACAGATTTTATTGACTCTAAAAGCAACTGCTTGATTCAAAGGATGGCTCCTAAAAATGTACCAAAACTGTACATTTAACCACTAAAACGTCTCAATCTGTTTATAACAAATAAGTCATTTTAAATTAAAGATTCGTTCTCCGTCGCCGCTCTTCAGACGTGTTTAAAAAGAACAAAGTTTGGACAAAACCCACAGCGGCTTCCTCCAAGATGGCAGCTCTCGTGCTAATAAGAAACTTTTTATCTGCCGCAGGTTCTGTTTATTCACAGACTGCATCTGTTCACCATCACCAGAGTCACACGAGGTTCCCTCTTGAGTTCTAAAGTACTCGCTGTACTTCCACATTTAAACATTTAAATCAGTACAAAATGTTCAACAAAAAAAAACATCAGCTCTTTTAACAAAGTGACTCGCCACATTCAGAGAGATCATTTCCACATTTAAACCTTTAAAAAAAACTTTTTGTGTGCGTGTGTGTGTGTGTGTGTCCTGGCACTTTTGGGCTCTTGGTGTGTTTGTCTGAGATAGTCGGAGGGGAAGCGAGCAGGTGCTTCCTGTTGCAAAGATGGCTGTGAACTGGAAAGTTGTGATCCCAGTAAGCACACACTCTGATAAGTTCGTGCATATCGTGAACTAAATATTGATCATTGTGTGAGTGGTTTCATAATGTGCGTTTGTCTCTGTATTTTCTTCGTGTAAGGAGGAGGAAGAGTGCTGTGCTGCAAAGACAACATTTAACGTATATTATAAAATGATGACGCGTTGATGGGAGCCACAGGGAGTTAGCAGTAGCTGCCTGTAGCTTCAACGTTAATATTATGACACATCTCAGGTTGTTGTTTTTTAAATGTGGCTGACTGAAAGTGCATTTGTGGGGTTTGTTGAAAGTTTTCAGAAATTAAAAGATGATTATTCGTCCTCAGTATGTCGCACATCCATCTACAGATCAACACTTTACACTTTGAGATGAGAAGTAAGGACCAACGCTAACTTCGGAACATGCAGGGTTTGAGCAGAGCTGGCTGGAAGGTTGTGATGGTTCTTCAGTTATTTGAAGCTCACCCATGATGTGTTTAATTAACCTAACTCAGTGGTTTTGTTGCCTAAACCTGTCTTTCGTTTTGTAACGTACCAGCAACACGAAAGCAAAACGGAGAATACCTTCAATGCCGGCTTCTGCTCAACCGCCTTCAACAGAAAAGACAGAGAGAAAATATTCAGGTTGATTTTGCACTAGTTTTGAGTGCTTCATTGGAGATTTAATGGCTTTTCACTCGCCTCAATAAAAGGCCATTAACTTGCACTTGACGCCCCCAAATTTGGGGGCTCTCGGGCTTAGGGGGGGTTGCAAATATCGTCCAAAAATGGCTCCCATTGAGAGCGAATATTGTGCATTTGTACGTTTCATATACCGGATTAAACAGCAACGTATGGGCAACACTATCATATAAGTCACTTTTTACACACTCCAAACACAACTATACACTACTAATATAAGCAACTAGAAAATGTGGCATAAAACTACGAATTCCTGGGCAAAAATCTGCGTTTATATTTACTGCACATTGATATTGGAACACGAAGCTAACGGCTACCGAGCTAACCAATACATCGCTTAGCATTAGCATTCGACGCAGAACGCATAAATACCTTCGGTTTTTCTCTCCATGGAACCACTACAAAGCTGTGAGTGAACAACGGCAATACAACAGTCCCCTTCACCGGAAAAAATTATCGCCATCTGCTTACCTTTATGAAAAAATCACAAAAATAACAGCGAAAATTATCCGGTTCAAAGCTAGAATCATTGTTGGCAACTGCATCCTGTCTGCTTCTCATCGGTTTCCTGTAGAAGGGGGGTCAATCTAACTTGTGGGACCCGGGGGTGGGTGGTCAGACTTTTGACGAATGGAATTTTACGCTCGGGGATGCACGGCACTCTTTGCATCTTTACTCGCTGGAAATTCTGTCAATCAACACCCGGCTTCGACGCCCGCCTTCCAGAGACTCTGACGCGTCGAAGGCGGGCTCATTAACTGAAATTGACCGATGATAGGCTGAGCTAGAGCCCCGTACACACACAGCAACTGAGAAAATCCCAATGGATGACAGCCAGAAACAGGCTCTGA